GAACGAGTAGCGAAAGAAACATCCATATTGTTTTTACTTGTCCAAGTTGAAGCAGCAGTGGGAGAGATTTCCCTCAGGAAAGGAGCCTTTGAAGGATGAGGAACGCTCGGTTGGCTCTGACTGATGAGAGACAGCAGGAACTATCAGGATCTCAAACAGGAGGCGGGGGGACGATAACCGCAGGGTTTCGGCTGACACTCAACACTTCCCCTCCCCAAACCTGTTGAGTCTGTCAGCAGCCACCGGCCTGGGAGGAGAACAGCAGATTTTACCGATTTCAATCAGACAGCAACTAAAGACAGCAGAGATATTAATATTAATCAGCAAAAATAAAGAATAAAGCTGAAGTAATGGACCAGATTTAAAAAAAGAACATGCTTAATGTTCTGCTGTAAAAGCGATGAGGGAGACAGGAAGCAGAATAAATCCCAATAACGTTTTTTCCCGATAAAATAAAAATGCAACTATTTGGCTAAATGTTTCTATTTGAAGTCAGAAATCTAGACTTGTTTTGTTTAAAACACTCAGCTAAGCTACTTTTTACACATTTGAACGTTTTATGAGTTCATGCTCCTTCTCTGCGCTCCTGGTTTGCTTTTAATGCTCCTTTAAATCCTCTCCTCACTGGAAAAATCTAAATCCAGGTACGTCTATTTTTTCTTAAAATAAGTGCATTTGTTCATGGATTGAGGACGTAAAAGAGACATTCTGCCAATGGAACGAGACAATTTACACTTCAAATAAGAAAACACAATTGCATTGTCTTATTTTAAGTGCATTTTATCTAATTATCTTATTTTAAGAGTAAAAATACTCATTCCATTGGCAAATTATCTTATTTACCTACTCAAATTAAGGGTAAATACAATTAATTTAAGAAATGTTTTACTTATTTCTAGATCATTTTTGCAGTGGAAAAAATCTAAATCTAGATAAGTCCTTTTTTCTTAAAATAAGTGCATTTGTTCTTGGATTGAGGAGGTAAAAGTGACATTTTACCAATTCAACAAGACAATTTACACTTGAAATAAGAAAACACAATTGCATCGTCTTATTTTAAGTGAAGTTTATTTAATTATCTTATTTTAAGATAAAAAATTCCCCCTTCCTTTGGCAATTGTTTTTTTTTCCTTCCCAAATTCAGGGTTAATTCCTTTTATTTTCGGAATTCTTTCTTTTTTTTTGGTTTTTTTTTCTGTTGGATTCGTGCGTTTCACTGGAAAAACAATGTAGAAATACGTTTAAAATTTCCTAAATTAAGTGTATTTATCCTTAATTTAAGGGTAAATTCTTCCCTTGGTCAGTCTTTATTTTGTAATCATTATTTTTATTCCCCTTTGTTCTTATTTAAGCTCTTTTCTAGTTACTTTTAGATCCTGTTGCTTCTCCCTGGTTATTCTCTGTCGCCCCCTAGTGTCCTTTCTCCTGAACTCCTTCTAGTTACTTCTGTCTAAACCTGCTCCCCATTAGCTAATCAGTTCTGCCATTGTTTCTGCCTCCTGTTCCGTTACTCATTGCTGGATTCCCGTCATTCCTTAGGTCTATGACTCTCTGGTGTTTCCTAGTTTATTGGTTCCTGAGTTTCTGAGTGTCAGTTCTGGGCTGGATTCTGTATATTGACTTCATTAAATTTTGAAAATTTGTGACGGTGAAATAAAGCCTCATGAGGCGTTGAACCGTTTTGGCAAATTACTTCAACGATCGCCACAATTCATGAAGCTTCATTTGAACATATCCCCATCTACTGGTGGAGTGCAGAACTACAGTTAGTGGTGTAATTTGCGATTTTTTGCAATGTTCCCTTTTTTTTTCTCCATTTAGGTTGCCTTGAAATTGTTAATGATTGCTGTGTATAATAAAATCGTTTGTAAATTTTTTTTTTTAGTAAAATGTCTTAGAAAATATGTAATTTTTGTGTCATTTTAGTGAAATAAGCTCAAGCAGACAGTGGAAGTGCTTGTGATAATTGGCTAACGACGAGCCAATTGGAAGGTGTTAGTCAGTTTTATTCAAAAATGATCGTTTTTCCACAGTTTTTTCTTTTATTCGGGTTGGAAGTTCTGTGTTCATCCAAACTTTTAGTTAAACCAACCAATATAATTTGATAATTTGATAGTGTTTTTAACCAATCTGTATTGGAAAATGGGCAAACTAATACAAATTGGTCACTTTGGCCAAAATACTGGTTTGGTAGTACAGCAACTTTCAAAAGTTCATAGGCTCAAAGCTACAGCTTTTTAATTGAAATGCAATGTGTTACAGAAGACGCCACGTCTATACTGCCTCATCCTCAGAAAGCAAAATTACAAAACACTAATGACACAACTGAAACCAACAGCTTGTTCAAATTCTGATTATCATATTGTTTGATCTAACCAGAATTGTTTTAACCAACTAGATTGTTTGGAAAAAACAACCAATCTATTCTTAGAATATATCCACACTAATCAACTGACAGCAACTCTACAGCAAACTCCCACATCCTGACTGAATCCTGAGGCTGTTTAGATGCCTGTCGAAGTTCGTGGGCGATCCTGGCCACTTCTCAAAGCAGTCAGGTGGTATGGCGGGGTTTCGAGAGTTCGGACTTAATTAGTTTTGGCCCCTAAATGAAGAAAGCCTAGAATACGCGCTTCGCAGAAACAACCACTCCACTACTCAACAAAGCCTCAAAGCCTCAGCTCATCTCATAACATCACTATCTGCAAGAAACAAGAAACAGTCACCTCTGTCATCAACGGACCGTTTTGTAAACACAATGCTAGAAAAAAAAAGAACAAATGTTTACTAGTAGCTGGAAGCTGAATAGAAAGTTAAATGTCTGAGTTTAGCTTTGAATGAGTAAAGTCATGTGAGGAGAGATTCTACAGGAGCATGAACAGCAGGCCAGGAGAGCAAAGAAGGAGCTTATATTGGGGGGTCATGGTATTAAATCTGAACCTATAAAACATTCAAAACTCAGATGGAAGGTAGTTTTCATGTGGGCGTTTAAATAAAACTGTATTCTGTGTGAGTATTTATTACAGATGTGCACTTTTGGCAGAACTCTGACTTCAACAAAATGGGACAGTTTAAGGCCCAAGGAGAGAATCTTTGCTCATTCCAGAATCTTCTGAAGAAAACTGGACTTATTTTCACCAATTTTCACCACATGTGTTTTTGAAAGTTCACCTGAGGCAGAAAGGTTAAACAGGGAGCTTTAGTTAACCCTCAGTTATTAAATCCTAAACTGGTTGACAACTTGGTTTTTGACTTTTTATGTCAGTCAAACGTCAG